TAAAAGCTGCAAGTCTCTACATGAACTTAAGTATTTTGTACCATAAAACATGACCAATAACCAGCTACTTAAATGTTTTAAAACAATGTACGTAAATTGGCGTTCACAGCCGCATAATACACGATTAACGCAAAATGGTAAAAACGTACGTGGTGCTTAGAGGGTACCCGTACGTAAAAAAAGAGCAAAAGGTGTATTTGTTAATTCATTTAATAAAAGCTAAAATTGTAGTATCATCGTACATGATAAACTTAAGCTGACCTATGTATAATGCTTGTTTGCGCATGCTCCGTATTTTCTAGTAAAATATCTAAGATCACATGTTAAGGGTTTACAGAATAAATTTATATCTTGTGCTGAACACTCGTCGTGTTTTACTTTACTTCATTGTATCAACGCACTTGATTTAATATCTATTAATGTTCATAAATAAATGAACATTACAACAAAAATGACAAACGTAACAGAGATATATTTCAAAACCAGCCACATCAATACTTTTTCTTATATTTATAACTCAGTAAAGCGCTTGAGTAAATCATCAAGTAATAAAGGGGAATAACTCCTGAGGGCATAGAATGGATTCACACTAGCCCTGTTCAGCTTGTCTAAATTATTTCATAATGCAGCGAGCTTGTTATGGTTCTCATAATCTGGCCAGTTCGTTTTAGATTTTCAGTAATGCGACTAGCTTGTTTTGGTTCTTTTATCAAGGTTCTTTCATAACATTATTTCTTAATGTGGCCAGGTTGTTGTTTTTTTTGTTTGTTTTGTTCTTCCTTTCATAATGTGGTCAGCTTGTTTGTTTTGGTTCCTACCTTTAGGGTTCTTTCATATTTTGTAACCAGCTTCATTTCAGATCTTATATCTTAGTGATTTTGAAATGCGGCTCCTTAAATCTAGGTTCTTTCATAATGCGACCATCTTGCTTTTATCTAGGTTCTTTCACAATGCTGCCATATTGGTTCATTTTGTTTATTGTATTAAGTTAAACCGGAGCGGTGGCCTTGTGGTTAAGGTGTTTGCCTCTGAACCCAGAGATCATTGGTTCGTGCCCTACTCGGGTCACAACCATGTTTCTTTATATGACACCAGTACTGGTTGGTTCAAGGTAGCGGACTCGAAAGTGATTAATATAAGTTGTAAGAACTTGTATCGCAATTGAGCTTAGATATTAGATAATGTTTAAAACCAATATAGATTATTCTATTATGTAGCCAGCTGATCCTGGTTCATATATCAGGGCTTGCTCATAAATTGTACCTTCATAATAAAGCCACCTTAATAATTGTTTTTTTCAACATATTGCACCTGCACAATACGACCACCTAAACTTGTTTTGATTGTGAAGAAACTTGTCAAGGCTCAGTCATGTGTGTATTCTTTATTCCTGGACTAACCAGTACTGGTGTCACATAATGAGTATTTCCCAATAGGACACAACATCCAGGATAATTGTGTTGTACAGCTACATACCTCAAGTTAACCTTATAACGAAACTGATTTACGTACATATATCATTGTATATGATAACTAAAACATCAATGTTTTTTTTATAATTTTATTATTACTAAATATTTAAACTATGATATAATCTACATACATGTATAGAGTATTAATTTATAAAACAAAAACAAGATTACTGTAATCATATTATACTTGTAATCAGTACTGACAGTATAATTATTATAATATATATATAACAATGTATTTTTTCATATTTATCTCCCTTTAGTCAATAATATGTAAAATAGTAATTAAGAAATATCTCAATTCTTATATTTCCTAAACCTTGTAAAAAGGTCAAATCTATTGTAGATATCAGATTGATGAAAATAAGAAATAAAATGATATCATTTCTGATGTATAATGGGTCTTTAACCAACAATTGATCAACTTTAAAAAACATCATTATTAATTTTCATCATTACATGTCAATATAAGTCTTCAAATAGTTTTACAACAGCCTCTCTTCTATTGCAAATAAGTTGCAATGACCTTGAATGCCGTTTTGTCAGAAAGATAATATAATATTTTATGTTCAAACATCATAAAGACTTTAAGGCCCATTATGCCACAGAAATCATTTTCTTTTTAATCTTTTTTTAATACCTTGTTACAGTTTCAAAAAAATACGCATTCCTCATAAAATTGAACCATCTTTGATCGAGCTGCTTTGTTGGCATAGTTTAATTGTAGTGAATTATAATTTTTGTATGAAAGGAAAACTACTACTTTTGTTTACATTTTGTTAACTTTAGGACATATTATTGCACATTCAGCGATACTTTCCCCAGCTGTTAAACATCTAACAGGCTCTAAATCCATTGTAAAAACATTATTAAACACATGTTTGACATTTCTAAATAATTTAATAAAAACAGATTTCTGAGGCATAATGTGTCTTTAAAGGTATGCTCTACGTATAAACTGTTACAAAGGTGAATAGCTACACAATTTACACACGGCTTATACCTCAATAAGATATTTCTACCAAAAACGTTTCATGTAGATGCATTGAAATGTGTACGAGTTGTGTCCCAGCAATAAATGAAATATGTAAATTTACAATGCCTGATGGACAATAACGCTAAAAAACTTTAAAAATAAACCTGGGGTGACAAAACTAAATATGAAAAGGCAAAAGGAAAACTAAGGTGATTCTTAAATAATTACTTTCTTTACAACTTTGTTGTATGAGAGTATAATGACTGATATGATTGTGGTTTTAGAGAACGAAGCTATATTGAATATGTACACAAAATACAAAAATACTTATCTTTGTAAATTATACAAAATCATACTAAGAAAACTATATACCTATACAAACAAAAAACATCTCTTAAAGTAACAAGAAGGTAATAATGACCCTAATTCGCCATATTTCACGTCATAGTAGCATGACAATATCCCATCCTTCTGGATGTATCCTTATTGTGTTACCTGAATGTATGTAACTTTCTTTACTACATATATACATAGGTAAGAAATATTAATGTCATTTTCTTTTCACTGAATATAAATTATGTACATGCATATAAACATACTTGTTTGACAATGAGATACACAGTACCTCAAACACAAAAATGGTAAGACCTTATAGATAACTATAAACATCTGTATATACTTGAGCGGACAATAAAACAACATCAAATCTGACTAGAACATGGATTAGCAATACATTAATATATTATGTACAAATATACAGATCAACCTATAATTGATAAACACATATGAACAAAACTAATAAGGAGTTGTATTTACTTTAAATGGACGTAAGTAAACTTAAAGGGACTATGAAGAAAGCTTCCGTTATATTTACATTACCGCCGTTTTATCTAGGTCATATAACTTGTTAAATCATTATCACTAATGATAAATTTGATCTTAATTAAGATATAACCAATAGCATAATGCAACATAGACACTATTGCTCATTTGTCTATAGTTGTTCAGCAACCATCAAAATTCATTTTTGTCATATAATTGTAAACATTCATCAAAATTAAACTATTGTACAGATTTGAAATATTATTAAATTAAAGGGTCCTACTCGGGCAAATTAATGACAACTAGAACTGCCACTATCATGGCGTGAATACCCCCGCATACCACTTTGTCAGAATCAACAGTGGCCATTTAGAGCTCAAGGACAACCAAAGTCCAAAGTCCCTGTGACCTTGACCTTTGACCCAGTGACCTCAAAATCAATAGGGGTCACCTTATAGTCATGATCAACATCCATGCCAAATATGAAGATTGTGGGTCAAAGGAATCTAAAGTTATTGGGCAGACAAACTTTTTGAAGTCAAAGTCCCTGTGACCTTGACCTTTGACCTGGTGACCTCAAAATCAATAGGGGTCATCTACTAATCATGACTTACCTCCATTCCAAATATGAAGACTGTGGGTCAAAGGAATCTTAAGTTATTGGGCGGACAAGCTTTTTGAAGTCAAGGCCCCTGTGACCTTGACCTTTGACCTGGTGACCTCAAAATCAATAGGGGTCATCTACTAATCATGACTAACCTCCATGCCAAATATGAAGACTGTGGGTCAAAGAAATCTTAAGTTATTGGGCGGACAAGCTTTTTGAAGTCAAGGCCCCTGTGACCTTGACCTTTGACCTGGTGACCTAAAAATCAATAGGGGTCATCTACTAATCATGACTAACCTCAATGCCAAATATGAAGACTGTGGGTCAAAGGAATCTTAAGTTATTAGGCGACAAGCTTTTCGAAGTCAAGCCCCTGTGACCTTGACCTTTGACCTGGTGACCTCAAACTCAATGGGGGTCATTTACTTATCATGAGTAACCTCCACGCCAAATATGAAGACTGTGGGTCAAAGGAATCTTAAGTTATTGCGCGAACAAGGCTTTTCGAAGTCAAGCCCCTGTGACCTTGACCTTTGACCTGGTGACCTCAAAATCAATAGGGGTCATTTACTAATCATGAGTAACCTCCACGCCAAATATGAAGACTGTGGGTCAAAGGAATCTTAAGTTATTGGGCGGACAAGGTTTTTGAAGTCAAGGCCCCTGTGACCTTGACCTTTGACCTAGTGACCTCAAAATCAATAGGGGTCATCTACTAATCATGACTAACCTCCATGCCAAATATGAAGACTAAGGGTCAAAGGAATCTTAAGTTATTGGGCGGACAAGAAAAAACCGACGGACAGCCGGACGGCCGGACGGCCGGACAGCCGGACAGCCGGACGGCCGGACAAGCTGATTCCAGTATACCCCCCTTACAACTTTGTTGTGCGGGGGTATAAAAATATCAAAATGATTCCCAGCATGAATTTCTGCACTTAATTCTATATATTTCGGGTTTAAAGCCTAAATATATCAATACCAGTATAACAAAATTTAAAAGCAGACAGAATCACAGAGTAGTTTTAAAACAAGTTTTGTGACTTGTATAAACCCTGGAAGTTATAATAACAGATATTGTGGACATTGTATGATTAAAACAAGTCTAAGTCATTTATTGACATGTTCTTTAACGTTTCCAAAGTTCATTATGACAATTAATGTGAAATCTGAACGCTCTCCCAGGTGGGTCAGGTTAGGAAACCATCATTTGATGCTTTATAATGAGAAAATATTTGTTCCTGTGACTGCCTAGTGTATTCATTTTGAGGGCAAATACAGAATACTAAATGAAAAGTTTGCCTGTAACTCCCTTTAAACTATTGTACAGAATTCAAACATTATTTGCTTTCTTCAAAGCTAATCATCATGTAAATAATATGCTAAACTAATTCACACTAACATTGCAGAACATACTTTCATATGTATATCTAAATAAGTAAAAGAAAACAATTTTAAAGCTACATGCCTCAAGATAAACAAAAATGGTTCAAGAAAAATCAAACTTGAGAAAATGTACTAAGATTTTAAGAAAATAAAAATATTCAAGATACAAGTTATAATGTTCATGTTATGTGCGATTAATGACGAATTTTGCAGTATTTACTACTATATTTCTACTGCGTTACTAACGTATTTTTTGCATATCTAGTCCTCTTTTCGGTAATTTATGTTGTTGTTAATTAAGCGAAATTTGCAATGTATAGAATATTTCCTTTCTTCACTTAACAATATTATAGTTTTAAATACATTTCAAAATGTTAATGAAAATAAGCATGAATCTGGAGGCATGCTGCTTTAATCATTATTGATATTATCTTTAAAGTGAATTTGTCTATAACGTAAGATCTATAAGTGCCAAAAATAATTGTATTCAAAGAATTTAGTATGAAAATGCAATCAACAAAATAATTGTATATGGGAGTTGTTGGTATGTGTTAGATACATTATCAGAGATGACATACGGTATTAATATATAGCATATAATAAGTGTTAGAACAAAATATTATAAATCACCATGTATATTCATTGTGTTCATACTTAATCTCTTTAGATCTCTATCAACATTCTTGTTTTCAGTAAAATTTCATAAGAATATCCAAAAGACACATCTAATATGTTCATATCAATAGTTGTGCCCACTCTAGACCAATCCACTTTAATTCTAAGCGTTTTTTACAAGTTTCATTTGTGTTTTCTAATGAATATAATTATGTAATTCACAAACAAGTTTTCTGAAGGAACTCTTAAATATTTCACAGCGGTCTTTGTAAGAAATTTCTTTTTAGATGTAAATTCCTCTAGAAGAGATTTTAGGTACAATTTACGATGCAAAAGTAAGTTACAAATTGCTGGTCTGTTTTCGTTTCATTCAGGAACTAAACGATTTTAGAAGGAATTGGTGATGCACTGTTTTAAACAATTTTCTTTTAGATATGTATCTGTAAAGCCAGGAACCAGGTGTAAAGTCTTCATATTGGACTCTTGTAGAAGCATAATCATCATTGTCACTGTTGATTTACTCGAGCTGATTTTCTGGAAAAAAAATAAATAAATGAGAAAATCGAAATACATTACAGTGTGTTACAGTGTAGATTACATGATTAATTTAGTATAATAATATATTTAATGATTCACACACATTTAAGTTGAACTTAAGTAAATGCAAATCATCAACTTCCATAAGCCAGGTTGTTTTAATTATAGTAAGTAACGATAATAATAACTTATTATAGTGGCATGTGTAAATAGTTATTTATAAATCAAATTATATAACATATTAAATAGTTATACATCTAGCCCAATAACCTACAGTAGGGTGAACGTGTCAGTTTACACGCAAAACGCACGTTACACGCTATACGAACGCACGTTACACGCTATACGAACGCACGTTATACGCACGCAAAACGAAACGAAATACGCAGACGCACGCAAAACGATATACGCTAAACGATATAAGCTAAACGAAATACGCTAAACGATATACGCACGCTAAAACGCACGCAAAATGAAAACGTTTCTAAACATTTATTAAAACATCGTAATCATTTTAGGTTTTTAACAACTTTAGCTACATGTAGATCGTTTATAGCGATAAATTTTGATTATCATATAGATCTAGATCTATACTGTACTGTACTGTATGGTAGATCTAGCTAGAAATGTATTTTAAACGAGTTTATGTAAGAACTGAAATGCACTCAACCTAGCACCGAAATTAATTTTTGTCACAGCCTCAACAAATGATTTTTTAGAAATATTTATAAGCTATCGTGCGCTAATATCGAAAGTAAAATAGTTAGGATAACGTGTTCCTTTTTATGCGCAATCAAATAAAGAACTATCCCTTGCATTCACTACGTAATCTCTACGTAATAGTCCAACATGGCCGACATTGAATTATGCATTGCAAATTTTTATAAATATACAGTGCTAACAATCAAATTCAGATGGATTTATGAGGCATATCTATATTTTAAGTGAGGCTGCATCATAAACAATCGAACTATATAATCTTGAGTGTAAAATAAAGGAATAAACTATTTTGACAGAAGTCACGAAAACAGTTAAAAACACAGGATTCTACCACGGATAACATTAAGGGAAATGGATAACATTAAGGGAAAAGCTTCCAGAATCAGGAATGATTAAATTGCTGGCACAATACGTAGATTTAAGTTGATGTCCTGTATGTTTCATTAGGACACCGCATGATTTATCTTGTCTTGTCGCCAGTAAAATCTTCTCAAAACGAAAGTGAAAGTAGAAATAAACAGTCTACTGAACAGCTGAAATCCAGTGAAATCACAAAACAAGAGGGCCATGATGGCCCTGAGGTCGCTCACCCTGTATATAGGCCCCCCAACCCCCCCCCCCCCCCCAACGTTGCAGAGCCAATTTAACCCAAGAGCTTTTATTTGCACAAACTTGGTAGACACCCATAAGAAGATGTTTCATGCTAAACATTTAAGCTCTAGCTCATTGGGCTTTTTAAAAGAAGATTTTTTCAAAGTTTTTACTATACACATATAGTTAAAAACAATGACACCCCTGGGGCAGGGCCAGTTTTGACCCCAGGGCTTTTATTTGAACAAACTTTGTAGACACTTACTAGAAGATGTTTCATGCTTAATATCTAAACTCTAGCTATTTGGGTTTTTTCAAAGAAGATTTAAAGTTTTTGCTAAACACATATAAAGAAAATCAATGACCCCCGGGGCAGGGCCAATTTTGACCCCTGGGCTTGTATTTGAACAAACTTGGTAGACACCTATTAGAACATGTTTGATGCTCAATATCTTAGCCATAGCTCTTTGAGTTCTTTAAAAGAAGATTTTTTAAGTTTTTACTATATGCATATAGGGAAAATCAATGACCCCCCGGGGCGGGGCCAATTTTCACCCCAGGGCTTTTATTTGAACAAACTTGGTAGACACACACTCGAAGATGTTTCATGCCAAATATCTAAGCTCTAGCTCTTTGAGTTCTTTAAAAGAAGATTTTTAAGTTTTTACTATATGCATATAGGGAAAATCAATGACCCCCGGGGCGGGGCCAATTTTCACCCCAGGACTTTTATTTGAACAAACTTGGTAGACACCCATTAGAACATGTTTGATGCTCAATATCTTAGCTCTAGCTCTTTGGGTTCTTTAAAAGAAGATTTTTTTAAGTTTTTACTATATGCATATAGGGAAAATCAATGACCCCCCGGGGCGGGGCCAATTTTGACCCGAGGGCTTTTATTGTACAAACTTGGTAGACACTCACTAGAAGATGTTTCATGCCAAATATCTAAGCTCTAGCTCTTTGAGTTCTTTAAAAGAAGATTTTTTAAGTTTTTACTATATGCATATAGGGAAAATCAATGACCCCCGGGGCGGGGCCAATTTTCACCCCAGGGCTTTTATTTGAACAAACTTGGTAGACACCCATTAGAACATGTTTCATGCTAAATATCTTAGCTCTAGCTCTTTGGGTTCTTTAAAAGAAGATTTTTTTAAGTTTTTACTATATGCATATAGGGAAAATCAATGACCCCCCGGGGCGGGGCCAATTTTGACCCCAGGGCTTTTATTTGAACAAACTTGGTAGACACTCACTAGAAGATGTTTCATGCTAAATATCTAAGCTCTAGCTCTTATGGTTTTTTAAAAGAAGATATTTAAAGTTTTTTCTTTCGGTTGCCATGGCAACCAGAGTTTTGCATGGAATTAAATTCTTTGAACAATTTTTAAAGGTGACCACCAAAGGAACATTCCTGTGAAGTTTGGATGAAATTGGCTTAGTGGTTTATGAGGAGATGTCATTTAAAGTAAAAGTTTACGGACGGACGGACGGACGGACGACGGACGGACGGACGCCGGACGAAAAGCGATCACAAAAGCTCACCCTGTCACTTTGTGACAGGTGAGCTAAAAAGGTAAAATTTCTAGGGCATTACAATATATGAGTATATATAAATATTAAGAACGCAATTTTAATTTAGGTCTGAAACAGTAGTCGAGAGGAAAAAAATGAGGAAAATAAGGAAACCGGTTGTGATGTAAAGTTATTGGATACTGGTTGGGGACCACAAAAACCGGACAACCACTGAATCCTGACGGCCCCGAAAATGCTTAATTTAGTATTTTCTTTGTTCGGTGGTTGTCAGTCACTTTTTATCAACAATAAGTGCATGTTTCTTTTAAAATTAAGTAAATAAATGTATTTCAACCTCCGTAAATGGTAATATTTTAATTTATATTTCAAGAATGTTGACGTTGAAATTCGGGGGTAAAGAAAGCAATGCCTGACCTCATATACCAGCTATAATCATTCGCAGAGTGAATAATAGAATATCCAAAAGTTCAGCATTTGTTGCTGACATACTGTATATCATGTTACAAATCAAAAATCAAAACACCCAAGCTTTTATCTGAATTAAATCATATCATGAACATAGCTGTCCGGACACATGGTACTGTAGTGTTGACAATTTAGGTAATTTTGATACCCTCCTTGTCGAGCCTCAGATGTAAGTGTCAATACAATCAGAAATAAACAAACTAGTTTGTTAGTTAGGAGAAGAACCTAGCTGAACTGTGTCAAATTTTTTGGTCTCTAGGTTAAAAATTATGAACTCTGTACTGGCAAATGTTCCAAAAGTGTCCGGTTGATGGTCTCCGACCAGTATACAAAGACAGCGCAACAGAAAATATTTTTCATATCACTTAAAATTGAAATTTATTGACGTGCGCTTAATATATATTAAAAAGAGGATATTGAATGAGTGTAAGTTCAACGCTGAATTTATTGCACAAGTTGAATAAAATTATATTATGCGACCTCTGGTGAGCATAATATTTACTTTATTCAATGAGTGCAATAAATTCAGTAATGAACATACACAAATTTAATATAATATTCTATTTAACACATACTAAAAATAAAGACCGTTTAAAGTGAAATCAGAGTCATTTTTCTATGACGCGCCTATAGTTTAACGCTAACATTTAGCACGTCTTTACACTATGTTTGTATAACGCTAATGACGTCACATCAAAATGTATGCATGGCCGTACAATACCATATTTACGGAGTCGCAAAATCGGCACTGGTGTGTGATAATATATAGAGGATATTGAATGAGTGTAAGTTTAATACTGAATTTATTGCACGAGTTGAATAAAATTATATTATGCGAGCTTCTGGCGAGCATAATATTAATTTATTCAACGAGTGCAATAAATTCAGTAATGAACTTACACGAATTTAATATTCTATTTATCACATACCCAAAATAAAGGCCGTTTAAAGTGAAATAAGAGTCATTTTTCATTGACGCGCTTGTAGTATAACGCTAACATTTAGCGCGTCTTTACACTATGTTTGTATAACGCTAATGACGTCACGTCAAAATATATGCACGGTCGTGCAATACCATATTTACGGAGTCGCAAAATCGGCACGGGTGTGTGATAAAATGCTTTATCACACACTGGTGCCAATTTTGCCACTCCGTAAATATGGTATTGCACATCTGTGCATATAATTGACATGACGTCATTAGCGTTATACAAACATTGTGTAAAGTCACACTTTAAATATGCAGCCTGACTGGGACTTGAGCCAGGGACCCCTTGAATACGGTGTCGAAGCTGACTACCGGCTAAGCTATCAGTCCGCTTGCATACTCCTTCCCTCAATAGTGAACAGTTCTTAGCTGTAGAAATGAAAAAATCAGTTTTACAGTACAGTGTTTTTTTCCTCTACTTTGGGAATGGTGCCGGTACCAGACTGATTGGGAAAAAATGCATTATTTTGACTGAAATTGGGATTTTTTTTAAGCATTTTTCAGCTAGAAATAAGATTAGTCATCATGAATATAGATAGCTAACAGCTTCCACTGTCCAGGGAGAACTTTTGAGTGGTGATTCATATGAATATGTTGAATTTAAATGATTTCAGAGAAATCACTTGGCCTTGTGGTTATTTTGAACAGCCATTTTGGGAATTTAAACATTGGAAATTGGGAATTTTAATGTCTATTTTCTATTGGGAACAGTACCGTTTTAGGGTAGTAGTTAGATAAAGAAAAAAACACTGCAGTATCCTTTTTGTGATTCCTGGGATATACCATGCCAGTAATGGTCCCCTGACAGGGAAGGGAACACTTCCTTACTGATATTGGATCTGAACACCTCAGTGTCTGCATTATAGGACATTTGCCATACCTTTTTTTATTTTTTAATGAAATTTGAAGGATTTTTTTCCATATCAATCAAACAGATGTAATTGTTACTCAATATTATAGTAATATGTTGCCTTACTAACTTAGTTTCATTTCCTAGGAGGTATAATAAGGTAAAATTACCCCCATTTTTAAAGAATTGTAATGTATTTGCTTGAACAAATAGGCATCATAGAAAATATACCCTATCTTTCTTCATTGTCAATATAATTCAATGGGGTTTTCTTATTTTAGTCAATTAGATGTAGTTGTACTTGATAGTATAGCATTATTTGGCTTTACTTGACCAGAAGGTTATAACTAGGTAAACTTACCCAAATTTTCAATGATTTAGTGTGGTAAAGTTATTAATAAGGCATTATAGAAAGTTAGCCATTATTTCTTAATTTTCAATGAAATTTTTTGGGATTTTCTTATATAAGTCAATTTGATGTAGGTATTACTTAATATAATAATACTATGTTGCTAAACTAACTTTGATTCATTTACCATGAGGTTATAATCAGGTAATATTACTCCCATTTTTAATGAATTAGTGTGTAAGCTTGTATAGTTATACATAATAGGAAATAAGCCATAATTTTTTTAATATTCAATGTAATTTATTGAGATATTCTTACTTTAATCAATTAGATATGCTTGTTAATTAATATAATAGATTTATGTTGCACTTATAATTCTGTTTCATGTCCTAGGCTGTTATAATAAGGTAAAAATCCCCATTTTGTAGTGAATTTAAGTGTTCTATCTTAAGCTACAGTCTCACTTACATCCCGGCAGAGCCCCGGTAGACGTCCAGGGTGATCCAGGAACGACCGGGAAAAACCGGGGTACATCCGTAACTCTGTCGGCAACGTCCTGGATGATCCGGGAACATCCGGCATTCGACCCCGGATGGAATAAAATATTTAATATCACCGGGGTGGTCCGGGATGATCCGGGAAGGTATAGCTTTGCCGGCATCATCCTTAGCTCTGCCGGGAACGACCGTGGTGATACCGGGAAAGCACCGTAGCTCTGCCGGCACAAACCGGGGATGATCCGGGGTATGATATAGCCGGTAGAGCTACTGTAGAGCCCCGGTATATGCCGGCAGAGCCCAGGTAACTACAGGCAGAGCCCCGGAGGATAAAGGTAGAGCTACAGTTGATCCTGGCAGAGCCCCGGCAAAGCCCGGATCATTTCAAGAAAATAAGGACAATTTGTGATGATTGAACTTGTTTGTATTAAAAGCCTTCCCATTTCCCTTCTATCCAGTATTGCATAAGGATTTTTCAGAAAATCATCATGAATTACTATTCTGGAACAATAGATATTAAATTAAATAAAAATTATTTATCAAAGTTATCATTTTCGGGCGTTTTCAATCCACCAGGGTTCTACCGGGGCTCTTCCTGGATCGTCCTGGGCTCTGCCTGGATCGACCGGGGCTCTGCCTGTGTCAACCGGGGCTCTTCCGGCGTCATCCGGGAATGACCGGGGAAGCACAGGCATGAACTGTAGCTTCACCTGGGCTCTGCCCGGATGATCCGGAGCGCATCCTGGGTGGTTAGTAGGGAACTACCGTAGTGCTGCTGTGGTAAGTGTGACCGCAACAATAATTTCATCCCGGATCGTCCCGGATCATCCCGGTAACTTACCCGGATGGTCCTGGGCTCTGCCGGGAGTAAGTGAGACCGAGGCTTTAAGACAGTAAAGTATCTCAGGAAATTTGCAATAACTCTTATATTTTGTAATGAAATTTGGTGGAACTTCCTTACTTTAGTCAATTAGATACGTTTGTTAATTAATATGATAGATTAATGTTCCTCTTATAGCTTTGTTTAAATTCCAAGGCTCTTATAATTAGGTAAAATTTTCATATTTTGTAGTGATTTAGTGCATTATCTTGGATATTTAGGCATCTTAGGAGATTTGCCATAATTCTCATATTTTGAAATGAAATTTGTTAGGACTACCTTATTTTAGTCAATTAAATATGTTTGTATATTAATATAAAAGATTTATGTTATATAAAAAATTCTGTATCATTTCCTAAGAGGTTAAGTTTAAGGTAAAATTACCCGGTGTATCAACATTTTATGTGGCACTGCTTTCTTTAATAGTTGGGGTCCACATGGAATTTACTATAACATTTATATTTTTCATGGACAATAATATTGAAATCTTCTTTTTTAAGTCATCTAATTAAAGCTTTTAATTAATAAAGTTTATTTGGATTGAGTTATCAATTACATTACTTTTCATAGGGATCTTGTATTAAGCTCTTTTTAATGAACTGACCTACCTATGAAGCATAAAATTGATATTGTAGGAAAATTAAAATTACAATCAATTGAAATTGTACAGGTCCCAAAAGATATAAGTATGCAAAATGGGTTTTTGTAAAGTTAAATAAATACAAAAATATTAGGTGATATTTAGGTATATTATAGTTAAAATTTTATCAGTTTTGAGGTTATAACTTACTTGAGGGAAGTTAAACAAGTGACTTGGGACTACAGCATACCTAGCTGAGAAAAATCTTCAAAGAATTATATGGTTATATATGGATAGGTTATATACTTTTAAGTTAGCAAAGGGCGACACAGGCTCATCTCGGGTATCTTAAAGGGGTATTATGTTAAGTAATGATTACGGATTGATAAATCTTTAAAGTGATTTTAGATAATATACAGAATAAAAATAAAAAAAAGCTATATATGTTTATCAAAGTGGGTTATAATATGGACCTCATATAAGATTAAGATATATTTGAGCCGGGTCACGATAAAACCAACATAATAGGTTTGCGACCAGCATTGATCCAGACCAGCCTGCGCATCTGTTCGCTAACAGTGTCTCTACTTGATATACAGTTTGTAAGTGAACAGCATGGATCCTGATCAGACTGCGGGGATATGCAGGCTGGTCTGGATCCATGCTGGTCGCCATACCACTATGTTGGTTTTGTCGTGACGCGGCTCATTTAACTTTTAACATGTAAACACTGAACTGGATCAGGAAACAACCCGTCCCTAGATTTGCCACTAAAATGCCACCCTTTTCAATGGTGGAGTATTTAGACAATTTTCCACCAATAATGCCACCAAAACGCCACCCAAATCATGAAAATGGTGAAAAATTTGAGCAGGACTGATGTTATATAATTTTCCAGTTAATTCCACCTTTTTTACACTAAATGCCACCAATGAGTGGAAAATTGGTGGAGTATTTAGACAAACTTTCACCATAATGCCACCATTATGCCACCTTAGGGTGGCAAACTCATTTTCCACTAGATGCCACTTGTTTCCACTTATTGCCACCATAATGGTGGAAAATTGGTGGAGTATTTAGACAAATTTCCACCATTATGCCACCATTGAGTGGCAAACTTATTTTCCACCAAATGCCACTTATTTCCACCTTTTGCCACCATAAGGGTGGAAAATTGGTGGAGTATTTAGACACTTTTCCACCATTTTGCCACCAGATAGTGGCAAATTCAGTTTCCACTAAATGCCACCTATTTTCACCCTTTCAGAAATTTTCCACCTTGTGGGTGGCAATAGCTGGAAACTGCTTGAAAGTCACCCTGTACCCTAAATTGGAAACAAACAAATTTTAAAAATAATCCTTTTTAATGTTTCCATATGAAATTATATATTGTCTCAAAAAATAGCAAAACATTAGTCCATTTATTTTCTTCAGTTTATCTTGCTATTCCTGGACGGTTTGAGTTCAGTCCTTTAGGTTGTCGGCAACTTTTTGAGCGCACAATCTAAAACAAAAAAAATTATGAATGATTAATACAATAATTAAAAACATAAGCTTACATTTTTATATGACTATTGGATATTTCTATATTCAATTTGAGTGCATAGATATGATTAAAACACTTTAAAAAACAGCACTGCAGACGTGGAAGAATCAGACTTTTCTTATTTACTCCAAGGCAGAAAATATACGCAGAATCAAAAATGATATTTTCATTCAGTTCATTAGTTACCTTCCAAGAACTTAAGTTTTGCCTTGTCTGCACAAGAAGGTCTGGCGTCAGACTCTCTGTTCCCTTTCCTCATACCAAACAATGAGCGGCCTTTAATCTCTTCTATATTGAATAGCATTCTGAAGAGCTTTGCTGTACCTTTCTCTTTTGAGGCATATGGCTTCAGTTCTGCCATCACTTGGTCCTAAAATATGATTAACAATATCAAATAAGTAAAAACAGAAAATGATTTTATCAATATCTAATATGTAAAGACAGAAAATGAAACACTTTTATAAGACCTTGGTATATGTATACAACTCTAAAATTTTAAAATAAGAAAGAAATAAAGAAATACAACACATCAACACCAGTGCAGGTTGAGTAATTAATAATTTTCCAGTTTCAGTTCTTAACGAACCTTCATCAGGATAAATATTTGATAAAGTTTTCAAGCTAAAATGTACAAAAACTCTAAAATTTGTAAAACAAAATGTAAATGCAAATTAAAGTGTCATAAAGAGTTTGAATTAAAGTAGGTTTGTAAATAGTGACTAATAGCTATATTTATCAAGAACTGAAAAGTGTCTTATTGGGTACTGTGACACTTCTTTCCTATTAATTCTAAAATAACTTTGAATTAACAAGATACCTTTGTAAAGCCACTGAAGATCAAATGTGTTGCTCCAGGCTGCTCCTCATTGCTTTGTGTCTGCAAAATAATAATTCTTATTTAATGCTGTTTCTGTTATGAACTGTCATTCTCCTAATAGCATGTTACTCTAGACTGTCTAGTTATGGTTATATAATTATCTACTGCACCATGAAATCTGAATTACAACAATGAAGGAATGAAACTTACTAATAAATCAGTTACTGTTAATCTGCTCCACATGTGACACACAAGGAAAATTGTTTATAGCATGAAAGTTGTAGTAATAGGTACCTCAGGTTATCTATAGTTTGATTGATGTAATATTGTACATAATGATATTGTACTTACTGATTAATTTCTATAATTTTTTTCTCAAACTTAAAATTTCTAACATATTTTATTTAAGAAATGATGAAGATCTTCCTACATTCTTTATATTCCTACATTCTTTATATGTACATTGTACATGCAGCTTTCTTTTTAGTCGAGTTACAAACAAAACAAATATAAAACACAATTTTATACAATACCACTTCATATTTTTACTGTCAAAAAACTAAACAGTTTCTGCATAAATAACAATAATTATTGTATGTAAAAGTTGTTTACCTGAAACTTTGACTGGGAGTGATTCTGCTGTTTATCTTCTTGTCTACATATTCACACTTAAGTTAAAACTTCTCATTTCTATTTAACACACCTGGGACATATATCCCAGACCACACTAATAAGACTTTAAATGTTTTCTTTGAGAAATCAAAAATATGCACCCTTACATTTTAAACAAAATATCTCCAGAATTGCTACAATATCAATAATTTCCTTTGTGTTTGCAAGCTTTAACTGACCTCAATTCCTTTGAATTCAAACTTTACAACGGTGTAACTGCATGGACAGTCCATTATAATTTTAAATTTGTGAGGGATTTTCCAAAAACCATAGCACCCATCATTTTATTTTTTACATTCATTTGAATGTATAACTATATCTAATACCTAAATAGATTGAGTAGAAATAAGCTTTTGAAAGATAATTTAGCATGCTATTTTAAGACAAATTCTACATAAAAACATGTATAATGTTGCCTCTCCCAAAATAATCAAATGGAACATTCTGGTCAGCATGAGTAAACTATTACCCCCATTCATAGATTACTAGATAAGAGGGCAGTAGTTTTTATCAGATCTGAGATGTATGCTGTGTTGTTAAATCTTAGAGGATGCAGTATTTACTAGCTAGTATTTACTTATCCTGATTGTAAGAAATTTATCAGACATTAATGACTTATTTACTTTTTCACACATTAATTTTTACAAATAGATTTAAAGCCTCTGAAAGCATAGCACAAAAGATGTTAGAGACCAATAATTTTAAACTCCACATATAACTAAATCTCATTTATGAGAAGTTACAATGCCAAGGAACCATAACTTTTTATTTGCATGATTTGGGGTTTATTGCATTTTTTACTTCTCTATGCTTAATTTTTGTCTTGATCATTAAGCTTAAAAAGTACTGGAGATATTAATTTGAAACTTCACAGATATAGATCTTTTTGAGTAATGTGCTGTGTTTAAGAACCATAACTCTTTGCATACTTTTGGAGTTATTGCCCTTTGCATTTTTCACTTTAATTCTTGTTAGCATTACATAAAAAGTGTTAGTACTCACCAGATATCAGTTTAAAGTAATATTGAAGAGACAATTTATTATGTCAATTAGAAGAAAAGACAAAAGTCAAACTTTATTCAAGATTGACATTAAATATCATAGAAGAAGCAACAAACTTTATGCAGAGATATGCATTTTCTGGGCATAGAAGAACATTTCAACTATTTAATTAATGTACAGATTATAAAAAAGAACAAAGTACACTTTAAAAGCCGTAATTTTATTTTACAAGCATAGAATGGAACATAAACATTTTGACTTGAAAGTCAAACTTTACATCCCTAAAGAAAAGTACTGCCATAAAAAATGGGAAGTTAAGTAACCCCATACTTTTCTAATTTTTCCTGATCATAATTATATGTGTTTAACGCCTGGAAAAGTGATTTTAGACGTCCAATTTCTGTGTCTTTTCCTGCTACATTACAGCTGGAATTATCATACGTTACTGTGAGGCAGTGACTTTTGTATCAGAATTGTGTTCATGGCATTCTAGTATGTTTAAGAAATATGAGTTTCTGATAAAATTTCTAACTGTTCAACTTCAATAAATTATATTTTTGATAAAAAGTTCACTTGATGCTTTGGTAGAGTACAAACTATAAACAGATTTTTTTTCAGTTTGGAGCTTTGACTTAAATAAATCTTAAAACCCTGCAATGCACAATTATTAGATTTCTCAGTTTTTTCCACCAATTTTATACAACCCAGAAAATTGTTTAAGAGTTTCCCTTTTCGACTAAAAGTTATTCACAAAATTTTCTAAGTTTTTTTCCACTATTTTGCCACCCAGAAAATAGTTAGAGTTTCACTTTTCCACTAAAAGCCACTCATTTTCCACCTTCAAAATAAATTAAGTTTCATTTTTCACCAATTTCCACCCTTTTGCCACCATAAAAAAAGTCTATGTTCAAATTTCCACTCAATGCCACCTAAATGCCACCAAAGGATAGTGGCATTTGGTGGCAATTTTGCCACTACAGTGGAAAAAGAGTGGAATTTTGTCATTTTCCAGTTAATGCCACCTTTTTTACACTTATGCCACCCTTTTCAGTGGAAATAGCTGGCAAGTAGTGGCAAATCTAGGGACGGGAAGGATTGACAATTTTATTAAGATTGCTAAAATAATAATTGTAACTGTTTTTTATTGTACATAATAGGAATATTGCTATATCATTGTATTCTCTTTGTTTGATTGGACTGGTTGAAATTCATAGAAATCCCTAATCAAGGTATCATTATTTAACAAAACATATATTTATTAAATATCACAAGTAATAACAATACATCAATATGACTGTCAGACAGATCTTGAAACAATTTAATAAAGGGCTTTAAAAGCCCAGGCCACATACAAAAATAGTAGTCTATGCTTTGATAATGAGCTGACAGATAGGGGAATTTTGTAAAGGGTGGCTTAGCCTGTCTGTTGTGATTACATGTCTAAAAAGTACATCATGGTATATTTTAGCCACCATAGAATTTATCTAGAAAAAAATATAGCAATTTTTATTTGTACAAAAATATAGAAATAGTACAATGTATGATTAGTAAAATGTTTTCACTATACATGTACAAATAATGAAACTATTAACAAATGTCGTACAGCGCGGTACGGTATTTAGAGGGTCACGGGTTCGAGTCCATGTCAGGATTCACTTTTTTCTCAGCCTGTGACTGATATAACATTTGTATAGCCCAGGTAGAAATTAAATCACAATGCTAATTAAGTAACCCTGGGAAATTCGAAGAAATATTTGCATACACAGTAGGTTTATAACGATTCAGTATTTTAACAAGTAAAACGTTGTAAGCGGCCGAATAGCTCGGAGGAACTCAAGAGCCGCGGAATGGTATTCCGAGTGTCAGGGGTTCGAGTCTCTGCCAGGCTGTTACATATCAATATAAATCTGTCAAGAAAAATAGGGAGGAACTGTCTAAAATAATTAATCACCCTAAAATAGGATTCGGATTGGGTTCGGAAGTCTTTGATGAAAAGTCAGGAGATGAACTTGTAAAGGGGGTGGGGTGCGAGTCTGATTACCATCATTTGATGTCTGACGAACCTCATATCTAATATATATTGGTACGCATATAAACACGTTTTTGCTGAATTTAATATCAAAAATGTTGCAATTAATTAGTAACTAAATCTTATATGCGTATGTAAACTAGGATTAAAACTAATTAATCTTCGGCGTAAAGCATGTAGAAATCTGACCAGTATTCACCGCGAGGTCACAAACTTTAAAACTTTAATGTAAACATCACAATAATACTTCTTTATATAATATTTCTATTCTTTGACAGGGACACAGAGCATCTCTTACATGTTTAAAAAACAAGAAATTTACATAATATATCTATCTAAGATATTCTTTTTACTTCTGAAATAGTAACAGACGCAAAAACACGGTACTTAGACGAACGCAGACGCACGCTAAATAAGAAAACGCACGCTTTCAGACGCACGATAAACGAAAAAAAACGATACACGGAAAACGAAAAACGTTAAACGCTTGAAAACGATACACGCTTGAGAAAGCGTTTCAGCAAACGCACGTTGCACGCTATACGCACGCACGTTACACGAAAAACGGACGCACGAAAAACGCTATTTTTGACAACCGAAACGTTCACCCTACTGTATAAGTCTCCTTCATTTGTAAACATAGTTGCCATAAAGAGATAGAAATATGGATAGAATATACTGAAATTGCCCTCTATATGGATCATTATATGTCCACGACCTGACATATGAGTAGAACCACAAACCTTCCGTAAGTAAATTGAATTAAATACTACATCTTCCGCCGGCCAGCTGAAATGAATTTTTTTGCATATTAGCTGGAATACAAGTAGAACTACGGACCATCTGTATGCAAACTGAATTGAATTATTTAGGTATGAACTGGACTATCTGAGTAGAGTCAGTCAACTTAAGGGGAATAATATAGGCATGAGCTGACAAGTTCAGAGAGGAACCTCAGACCTTCCGTGAAGGAACTGAATTGGAAAAATACACCTTCCCCAAGCCAGCTGAATTGATTTTTTTAAGCATAAGCTGGTATCCGAGTAGAACCACAACCAACTGAATTTAATCATTTAGTCACGAGCTGATATCTAAGAAGAACCACCGTCTTTTTTCAGTCATATGAATTAAACTTTTTGACATCCGTTTAAGAGGCACGAGATGATATCCGAGTACAGCCGGCCAATTGAGTAAAAATATAGGCATGTCATGACATCACAGTATAAACCTCGGGCCTGCTGTAAACCAGGTGGGCATAATAGCTGACATTTGAGTAGAACCAATGCCTGTTGTCAGCTAAGTGAATTTAACTATTTGGCTTAAGCTGATATACTAGTAGAACCACGGACCTTTCGTAAGATAACTAGTAAATGCTTTGTTTAAGAGGTATTAAACTCAGATGGTACTGAAACTCGGCTTACAAAACTTGGCGTAAAATTTATTATATTTTTCAACAATTTCCCTAAAAATCGTCCGTTTATAAATTTGTTGAAAGAAGCAATTGTCTTTTGCATGGAAGCTGTCTTCGATATTTTATTTTACTATCTTTATTGGATTTAATTGATCTGTCAATCATAAATATAATTTAAGGCTTACCTTGTCAACAAAGGAACATGGTATTTTATTTTTGTTGTTCGAAATAATCTATAACTACACAATCCTAATTCTGCATCACAAAGATCTTTGTTGATCTAAGGCCGCTGAAACGAGAAATAAGACACAAGATTAACGCATATCTTATTAATGGGGAAATTTTGCAGAACAATGTTTCATTCTAATGTAGTCAAATGTTTGTGAACAAGAGGGTCATGATGACCCTTATGTCGCTCACCTGATTATAAAGACTCTAACTGACATGGAGCAATTATTTTTGCAAGTTATGAATGAAAAGCAGATATTAATTCTTATCTTAAGCTGATAATTAATCACAAAGTTCATATTTGCATCTGAAATATATTTGAAAACAGAGGTTGCTATGAAAAGTAAATGGTAGTTAGTATGTCATTAGTTGCTATAGAAGTTAAAGGGACTCCACTGAGGTTTAAAAGGATAAAAAACATAATTTGAATTTCTTACATAAATCAGATGGGGCACTTTAAACAGAAATATATGCAAAGATTATAAGTTAAGAATAATACTTTGAAATAAATTGAAAATCGTAATTTTTATGCTTTTTTTAGACTGATTTGAGTGAAAAGCGTTTAAACACTTTTCATTTTGGGTCATTTTTTCAAAATTTGAATAATTATTCTGGAAAGACGAAGTGCGCCAATGATCTGAAATTTTGCACAAAGATTAGTAGTCTTAACCTACATCAAATAGTAAATTTATCTGGAAAAAATATTTTCAGTCCCATCATGACAAAAAGTCCTCAGTGGAGCCACTTTAAGGGTTGCTAAAGTATTAAAATAGCAATGGTCGTTTGGAAAGGTTCATTTATAAACATTTAAGGAAAATCGATGACCCTTAGATTGGGGCCAATATCGACCCGGATTCTATAATTTGAACTTGCTAGAATTCACAAGACAATAGTTCATGCCAATAGTTCAAAAGCTTAAGTCTCGATGGATTTATAGAAGTTGATTATTTTAGTCTTAACTATAAAAATGCATACGCGTATGTAAAATAAAAAAAATCTAAGACCACTTTCGGCTGGTTCAATTGAGACCTCCAGGACTACAATTTGAACAAACTTAATAGTGGTCCACAAAACAATATTTCATGCAAATTAAATATCTAAGCTTTATCCTTATGATTTTAGAGAATAAGGTATCAATTTTGGCTTGACTACATACATATTAAGACAATCTACATCCCCAATGCAAACCAGGGAAATTTTGCCCCCAAACTATAATTTGTATAAACTTATTTGAGGAACACTAGACTATGTTTCATGCAAAACACCTAAGCTTTAGGCCCTTGTGAATTGAAATGATCTGTAAAGTTATACGTGTAAATAAAAAATCTATGACCTTTAATGAATCCCCCCTTTAATCCAACAGCTAAAATGTAACAAACTTGACTGATTTCAACTAGAGTATGAGTCTCGACAAATATTTAAGATTAAACCTTCATTGTATAAGGGGAGAATATCTAAAATGTTACCCATATACATTTAAGGAAAATCTAAGACCCCCCTCCCCCGTTTTTCAAACATTGACCCCAGGACTATAATTTAAACATACTTGGTAGAGGTAAACTAGACAATGTTTAATGCAAAGTACCTTAGGCTAAGGTACATTTTAATAGCTTTAGTATTGATCGATTTAGAAAAGATGACATTTTAATCATAAGAAAAAAAAAGAAAAAAATTGCCCCCCCCTCTCGCCACTAGGCTGGGTCAGTTTAGACCCTAGGGCTCACTATTAGTTTGACATAGTCATACAAGGAGTTGTCTGGACAATATTCCATGTAAAATATCTTAGCTTTAGACTTAACGCTTTTAGAGTATCAGATTATTTTTATTTTTACTATATATAATACATATATGAGCCGTGTCATGACAAAACCAACATAATGGGTTTGCGACCAGCATGGATCCAGACCAACCTGCGCATTCGCGCAGTCTGATCAGGATCCATGCTGTTCGCTGGTCTGGATCCATGCTGGTCGCAAACGCACTATGTTGGTTTTGTCGTGACACGGCTCATATGGAAAAGCTAAAACCTATTACCCCCATACCTGGCCAATTAAAACCCCAAGTCTATACTGGTATAAACTTTATCACTTAATAGCGTTCACTGCACAATGTTTCATGGCAAATACTAAATATTAAACCTTTAAGAAAACTAGTTGACAGGTCAGCATTTAATGTTATTAAAGGAGACACTTAATTAATTAATAATTTAAAGAGTCTGGCAATTAATGTTACAAAAAGATAAAAATCTAACAAGAACAATATTTCCAAAAATAAGAAAAGAAAAACAATCTTAATTTTTAAAGTAATAAAATGTATATAGCCTATGTTTAAAAAGTACTTTTTTATATACAAAATCTATTTCAGGAACAAAAATATTCATGGTAAAAATATTAATTAAAAAGTTGATTTATTTATATCAAATTTATTTTCAAGTAAAAGTTAATAACAGATTATTGTTCACTGTTAATAATCTATTTCAGTTCTTACAAATGCAATTGTATATTAAAAAAAAAGACAGAAAAAAACATTCAATATAAAATCACTTACCTGTGAAATATTTCCATATCCTAATCCAACTTTTATATCCATTAAATTCCGTAAAAACTTCTTTGAATTATTTCTATTAATTAAATCTGTTTATTTATAATCAATTGTCACTTAATTTATAATTGAAAACGGACATACATGTATGTCCTTATTAAAGACTATATTATGGTTTGTAGAGCCGCCATTTTGTTTCTAAGTGTCCATATTTAAATTGTTTTAATCATTTAAAATTATTGAAGTCATTTCTTCAGTTTATTATACAATGTTTTTTCTTGTCTATTCTTTGCTTGGTTTTATTGTTTTGAACTCAAATGTTCCCCACCAGCCGCTGTCTTGTATCACATGAAAAGTTTGTGATCTCCGAATATTTTCTCTAACACGGTCATATTCTGTTTCCGGTTTAATGTAGTTCATCACTACTGTAACTGACTGCGGCAGATTTTCAAGCACGGTAATAAAGTTCTGTAAACTTCTTGCAGACATTTCTATAAACCACAACTCCACACGTTCAATATTCACCATGTTACGTGACAGTAACAATGAAGTTTCATCTAGATTGATGCTCCACAACGTAACATTAACTAATGACTGTGTTGATATATTTAATTGTAGCCTCCCAGGTAACAACCGCAAGTGTAACTTTGATAGAGTTGAATGTTGAGACAAGTCCAAGTTCCATCTCTTATAATCATGGCGGCGGTAGCGGCCATGTTCTTTACAGTCTAACTCGTGCAATGTTAACTCTTTCATTGATTTTTGACCGGAGATAAAATTGAAAATTGTTTCCAGTATTTTGTGAGATAACGTGAAGAATCTTATATATAAATATTGTAAGTTTTGACATCGCGCCATGTTTTCATTCAGATTTTCTTCATCATTTGTCCATGTACCATTCCACAAAGTAACGTACTGTAAACTGGGAAACAATATCCGACTTATCTTAGTCTCCTCCTTCTTCCTGTCACCAATATAGAAAAGTTTCTGTATATGACTGAGATCTGTGAGAGAGAATAAATCTATAATTTCACGTAAACTGCTGGAAGTAGACATGATGCTTATTTCAAGTGATTTTATGTTGGTTTTATTTTGTTTTAACAAACGTTGTAACTGTTTACTGTGCACCTCGGTTTTCTCTTCAATGAAGAAATCTTGTAAACAAAATTGAATATTTTCACTTTCAGGCATTTCTTGTAAACACGACATGAACATTTTCTGTATGTTATACAATGGAGTATTGTAGAAGCCCTTGACACCTGTCCTAGTTCTATAGCCGCGTGTTTTCTCGTCTTCATTTATCACAGACATCAAATCTTTTGATATTGCACACACCAGGTCAGCATTCATTTTACTTATAAATTCACAAATTTTTGACATGTCCAGGATGTCTTGAACATTTGTACATTTTTCTACAACAGTTTTCTGAGCGTCACTTTGAGAACTTATAAATATGGCGGCAAAGAATTCTTGCACTGTTTTGTGAGAAAACGATACTTTACTAAACTTTTTTCTGGCTGTTTTAGATGTACTTTCTGACAACATTCCTGAGTGAAGGGTGAATTTAATCTCGTCTTGCGCGATATATTTTCTTGCAATTGATCCATCAAATACTAGCGTGTTTTCTTTTGTTTCATTGAATAATGTATAATAAGCTAATTTCCCTATATGCATCAGGAGTGAGTAGTATTTCGTACAGTTGTCATATTCAGCAAAGCATTCTGGAATGTCACTGGAAGAAAGTTCCGGTGATTGTGGAAGCTCACCGTGGATCTGAATCGTTCTCGATAAAAGAAGTTCGACTATATTTATATAAAGATCACATTTTGAATCACCTATTTGAACACCCTCGCACCATAAACAGGTTGTATATATTAAAAGTAGAGGCACAAAAGCAAGTTCGTGGTTTTCTCTCTGACTGATTGCCTCTATGAACTGTATGACGTCACTATCTAATGCATCTTTATTCGGGTGAGACTTCCATCTTTGTAATATCCTTCCTATAAGTGTGACCGCCGAGTCTCCACTTAGTTGTGTTAGTTCTACCCTTTTTCCTAATTGACATGAATTTAGATCCAAAACACCTAATTTCCATGGTCGCGTGGTTGTCAGTATTGTACACTTTTTTCGGTAATTTCTGTGCGGGATCGATCGGGGCGATTTGTAACATTTCTTGTCGGGGTGAGTCCATTCATCCAGTCCATCAAGAATAATTATGCATTTCTCATTCTTCAAAATTTTAAGCAGGATATCTTTGGAAAGCGTTTCTTCAAGACCCAAATTTGAAATAATCTTTTCAAATATGAGCTCATCTATAGAGCACAAATCGTCCGAATCTCGCAATAAGACTAGGAATAAGAAATCAAATTCTTGCATACAGTCTACATCATCCTTTAACAAAAGTTCATTTAAGTCTTTATCCGGGCAATGAGCTTGACACCACACGTTAGCCAGATACTTTGAAAATGCAGTTTTCCCGAGTCCAGCATCAGCGAGTACATATATTTCTCGATTTTCTATATTTTTAGTTTTGAACAACCCCGATAATGATTCAACTGGTATTTTTTCATCATTTCTGTTCGATGTTGAGACTTTTGAGCTCAGTTCCGGTCTGATATAGAAAGAAGCTAACGGAGTGTCTTTCTCTTCAAAAAGAGGCGACAGGAAAATTTTACTGTGTCTTGTTTTGTAGAATTCAAAGAGACCATCTTTAACTTCTGAAATATATAAAGAAACACACGTATAAATACTAATGAAATTTAAATAAATTAATTAAAAGAACAGATGGAAAACTGTATAAATATTTTAAGGTTTTTATTTGTTATTAAATACAAATCCTCAATGAGTGTATAAATTTAAGCTTTGCATCAATGTACTTTAATATTGAAATGACCAAGCAATTCTAATCATTACGAATATTTTAACCAAATTTAGACTGTCAATTAACTATCTGAATAGAAAAAGGAAGGCACGATAATATTCCAAGAGAAATAGAAAATGTCGAAATTGTCCACTAAATTTGTTTCTACAACATAATATGAGCCGTGTCATGACAAAACCAACATAATTGGTTTGCGACCAGCATTGATCCAGACCAGCCTGCGCATCTGCGCAGTCTGATCAGGATCCACGCTGTTTGCTATCAGCTTATCTACTTGTAATAGTATTTGTAAGCGAACAGCATGGATCCTGATCAGACTGCGCGGATGTGCAGGCTGGTCTAGATCCATGCTGGTCGCAAACCCATTATATTGGTTTTGTCGTGACGGGGCTCATATCATTTCTCATTAATATGCAATTTACATAGATGTTTATTAAACCATATTTTGTAGATGGACTACAATGTAGAAATTCGAAACACTAATGACAATGACAAATATCAAAACAATTAATAATCTGGCAAGTAATTGGTATTATGCACATTTAAAAATGACATAAGTTTAGATTTTACCCTTATAGTATCCATAAACACGACAACAAATGCTTAGTAGATATAACGGCTATGTAATCTTAGAAATATAAAGATTTGCCGTTCAATTGCTAAATAATGATATAGTGCAACGGTAACCAATATCTTTCTACTTCCTTTAAGTACATTTGTTTCTTACATGTACTATAATTATTTTTATGCAAATTCTGTTACAACTTTTATTTATAAGATCTTGTCAATAATACTTCTAGGCTAACTTACCGTACAGTAACTTAAAACATCTTACAACACACAGGATTTGAATTCTGTGGCTATAAAGATTATTTAACACTTTTATGTTGAAAAAAATATATGTTAAATGAATAAATAAAAATCTACTTGTAACAAACAATGTCACGGATATGAACCGTTTTTCAATTAAACAATATTGGCGCAACATGCTTATTAAAACATTTGTGACTATCAGTAATATAATTATTTCATGTTTTTTTCTTTTAAATAAATAGAAAAAAGTCAAAATATGTTTCATTTCGTTAAAAACAAAAAAGAAGAACAAATCAATCACATAAAAACATGTTTAGACTGTTTTGTTAATTTTTACATTTCATTCAGTTATATTAATTTTCATAATGTCAAAGTAACTATGTTGTGTATAACCTTTGCAGTGTTCCTTGATATAATCTACCAGTGCTGACTTTGTATCAAGAATCACTTTTACACTACCGATTGAATTTATATAAATTTATAAAGATGATTTGAGCCGCGTCATGACAAAACCAACGTAATGCGTTTTCGACCAACATGGATCCAGACCAGCATGCGCATCCACGCAGTCTGATCAGGATCCATGCTGTTCGCTTATTAACCCTATTACAAGTAGTGAAACTGATAGCCTGATTAGACTGCGCAGATGCGCAGGCTGGTCAGGATCCATGCTGGTCGCAAACCCACTATGTTAGTTTTGTCATGACACGGCTCATTTGTTTTTATATAACATGATAACAGTATTTATTCTCCACGATATTCTATATAAAGAGGACAATCACAGATTAAGTCGCTCACCTGAAAACCATTGCAATGTTTATACAAATTCCAAAATTAGTTTGATTTATAATGAATGGACATACGTAGCAACTTCGATCGAATGGATAAGATTTGAACAATCACGGCGTGTGTTACTGACAATAAAGCCAAAAAAGAAAATATGTACTAACTATACTAAAAAAAAAATTGAAATAATATGAAACACTTAACAACTTTGTTTGTCAAACATTTATCATATGTTAATGTTACGGCACCTTTATATACATGTATTTCAAATCAGAGGAGGAAAATAAATCATTGAATTCTCTTATTCATGCCTTCATAATACTGCTGCTTGTACACGGCATTGAAAGGTAATTTAAAGGATAGAAAATAATACTGATAATGTTTAAGTTTATTGTTTAATACACAGACACTTGGGAGTCAGACCCAGATTTAAGGGGCCCCGATCTGTCCCCACGAGTGTCTGTCTATGATTATATCAATGGTCAATGTCTCACTCTACGGGAATAGTGTATTTTAGGGCTACCATTTGGGCGAAATGCGACACAATTTCCCTACTTAAGGAATTTATTTTCTTGCTATTTCTTAAAAAGAAAACAACAAAAAAGAACAACAACCCCATCAAAAAGAGATTTTTTACTTTTTCATAAGAGTGGAACGGACAGGGACACTGTCGTTTGAAAACAAAATGGTATTGATCCACAATTGACATTTCTATCTTTATACATACAGAAATTTCATATATCCCCTAATTCCCCCCTGTTTGTGTGCATGCCACTATTCCATTGAATTTTGAGGGACAATCTGACCGTAAATTACCGACTCCATATGTCTAACAATTCTTAGTAGCTCCATACACTGATCCGAAAGAACACTCCAAATATTTAGAACAGAGTTACTATTAACTAAGCATTTGTCCGGCATTATAGATTACATGTGATAGATAAAATCAATCAAGTCATTATCAACAGTATCCGTTTTGTGAATGGAAAAGAAATATGTAAATTCATTTAAAAGTTAAGTTATAAATAATAAATAGAGAAAAATACAACAAATTCTTACCAAGAAATTATTGGAAAAAAAAAGAAAAAAAAACAACAAATTCCTGGTTAATTATTCTCGTCTGGAGCCGTACTAAATGAACTGCAACTGACATAATTTAATGACTATTTCATATGAAGAGATAACTGTCATTAGTTCTATTTAAAGATTATTAACTCATATGGCGCGAAAATATTATTAAATGGCGCGAAAAAAAGCTTAAGGCTATCGCATTAACGCAACAGTGCAAAAAAGGTAAAAATCGGTCGAATTCTAAAACTTTCCCCCGCATTACCCCTCGGACTGGGACTAGAATTATAATAAACCTTGAATGAGTTATATGTATATTCCATTTTCCGTCGGCGAACTTCTGTCATAATTAGTCAGTGCAGAGATAATAACACTTCGCAAATGTTTTATTTTCTCCTATAACTAAATGCCCCGAAAAAAACAACAAAGGGCTTATTCTATATATCGTATGAGACAGAATTTCATGATAGTAAGTTGAAAAAATGTCAAGTTTTAATTATTCATTAAACTTAAGAATGTTTATAATATTAAATGTCAAAATGAGGAAAAATGGAAATGTTGAAGGGTCGGTTTGTTTGAGCCTGTTTTTGAACGTTAGTGGTGAATGCCGGGCAACATTAATGCCCTTCAGCACATCTTTAGTCTGAGCTCAGCAGTTAGACTTAATTCGTATTTAGAACCGTTTTCAAGGTTTTTACATTTCGCAATGATTCCATGCATGCAATCGTCCGTTCAAAGGAAAAATTCAAACAATTTTTTTTCAAATATGTATTTTTTCTGATATAAAACAAAACAGAAATATGTAAACTAGAGACAATATTTTTAATTATATAGATTAATACATTTTAAACTCCCAAGATAATTGAGTAAAAACTGTTGTTAGGAAAATAAGAAAAACATATATCAAACATACAACATAAGCCTAGGTCACAAATAAGAAAATGCCGCCGGGCGGCGTCTGTTTCTCCAAGAAATCGCAATATCGGCCGGCGTCTGTCCGGCGGCACTGACTATCGGACGGCAGCAGCTGAAAATTTTGCTCATCGGGCGGGCGCCTTCGAGTTTTAAGTAATACTTAAAAGCTAACGGCGGCCGGACGATAATTTTTGGGGTCACTGAGTATAAATATCATCGAGCGGACATCGTTCGGTCGCCGGGCGGCGACCGGGCGATGATTTTTTTGATCGGGCGATTTTTTGTTCTACTAAACAGCGTCCGATTTAAAAGGCGTCCGGGCGGACATCGGCCGGGCCCCGCCCGGTGCATGAATAAAGACAAGTAGTCAAACGATTATCGCCCGGTACCCGGACGATTCATGTACAGGCACCGGGCGGTCATCGTTTTGTCATCCGGCGACCGAGCTGCTGTGTTTGTTGTAATTTCAGCTTGAAGAAGCTGTAATTGCCTCAAAAATATATTTGTGAATTTCTTTTGAATACTAGTAAACATGAATTTTTTCTTCAATGTCCATGCGAATGTCTGATTGATTTTCGCCTTCTACGGCCTCGAAACTGGTCTTTGGGACTCGTTGTCAACAACACGGACCAACTCCTTGGCCTTCCCCTTGGCTTTGGCAGCTGACTTCTTTGCTGGCATAATTACAACTAGCTGATTTATCTAGGATGTCATTAAATGTAAAGTCATTGTCGCCCGGCGCCCGCGCGGCAACCATGCGATTCACTTTTAAATCGTACAGGCGCCGAACGGACATCGGGCGGTGACCGCCGATTCCGTTCAATTCTTTCTGTAAAATCTACTCGGCAAAAATCGCCCGACGACTGTTTCATTCATGACCACGCAAGGTATCAGATTTAAAATCGCCCGGCGTCCACGACATAAAAAAATCTGCCGATTTTATAAAAATCGTTTAATCGGACGGTGCCCGTTTTATTTGTGACCTAGGCATATACGTAACGACTATACAAGTACAATCTCTTAACGAAAATTCACTAGAAAATATGCAGTTGAATTATCTCAAAATTAATGGTGAATTGGATCTATACGTCAATTGATGCGCGTCAAATGTTAATTCTAATACGATTCACAATATTCCCCTGTCAAAAAGATATGATTATCACATGGTATATGCACAACATAAAAACGAAAGCTTACACGTCATACGATGTCATATATGACGTCAATTAACCAAATGACGTCAGGTAAATGCTT